GGCGAGGACACGGGCGAGGGCACGGGCGAGGGCACCGGGCGAGGGCACAGGCGAGGACGGCGGCGAGGACACCAGGCCCTACTTGCTCTCAGGGAAAGACAGGCCTCACTCTTCCTGGATGGAAACGAGCCCGGCCGATCCTCCGTCCATCTCGCGAGCACAGGGCACGGACTGTCCACGGCCGGTCTGGGGCCCAGTGCCGGTGAAGGTGCAGCAGCAAGAGGCGTCCTGAAGCCGTGGCCTGGGCAGATGGGGGACGAGGGGCTCGGTGACTCCCCAGATTACTAAGGACGTATGGAGGGGCTGGGGCTGCGATCTCACGGGAGGAGCACGGGGCTCTGGGGTGTCGGCCGACGGATGCGGAGGACCTGGACTGGGAGCATCTAGACTGGACGGAGCGGCAGGGGCATCGCGACGCTCATGCCGCCGGCCAAGGGCGGGCAGCATCGATGGCCCAGGGGCGCTGGGGAGCCGGCAGGAGCTCCAGGGCGACACCAGAGCAGAGCAGCCGCCCGGCCTGCGGAGCCCGCTCGCCCTGGCCTCTCTCCTTCACAGCCACACCCGTGCTCCCCGACGCCTGCCCCTGCTGCTCCCCAGAGAAGCCACCACGTGCACGTGCCTGAGGGGGCCCTGGCCTCACCCCAGGCCACAGCTCCACCGTGCCCGCGCCGTGTAGGCTCCGGGCACCAGGGCTGCCATTCCTGGCCTGCAGCTGGTCCTGAGCCTGCCACTTTGCCCATCCTGGGCTCTGGCGCACTGTGACCGTTTGGGGCAGCGTGGCCCATCCAAGCACGGATTCGCACTCCAGGGAGACGCCAGGGGCTCACTGCCGCACCACGTCTGGGGCCTGTGGGCCGGCGCCATGGGGGAGGCCGCCCTGCACACTCACCTCTGTCCTCTGAGCACCTGCCAGCCCGGCGCCCCTCGCCTCTCCCAGGGGCCCTGACCCGCCTGCTTCCTCCCCGGTCGGTGGATGTCCCTTGGGGTGTCTCCTGCACGCGGCCAGGCTCTGCCTCCACTCTCGCGCCCTCCCCTGCTCTGCACACGGGCCGTGCTGCACGAAGGCTCACCTGTGTCTGTCGTGTGAGCAAACCAAGGCAAGCTTCTCTCCCCACTGACCTCCCACGAAAGGTCTGCTCTGACAGCCACTGCTTTCATCTTCACCTTCTCCGCAAGGGGACACAGCGGCTGGCGCCACACGGCATCCTGTGGGTTCCTTCAGGCCGAATAAAGTTCTTCGGCGTGAGGCTTCGGGCCCTGGGAACCAAGGGAGAGGTTTACCTCGCCCCTGTCCCCCAGGCTCCTAGCCTGGAGGTTTAGGGGGCGGGACTCAGACGAGACCCGCAGGGAGGAAAGCCTCCCGGGTGCCAGCAGGTTGGAACATAGTGGGGTGTGCATGGGGGTGTGGGAGGGCGGAGAAGCGTTGGCTTACAGCTCACGGCGTGCGCACAGACCACCCAGGTGAGCGTGTGGGGGACCCGATGAGGTGCGCTTGCTTTCAGTGGGTGGCGTTTGATCTTTGTGACTCTACAGTGGGAGTCGCCCTGCACTTTCTAGCACTTTCTAGCTGCACCCATACACACAGGTGGTCTGCAGCCCACAGAGGCAGGGGTGCATGCAAAGGCACAGAGACAGAGGGCTCTGCGCTCTGCGAGTCCAGATGAGGAGGGGAGAGTGAGGACGGGAGCCAGTGTCGGGGACCCTCCCAGGAGGACGTCCCGCAGGCAGAGGTCTTCCAGAGGCGCGTCCTCCTTCCTGGCATCTCTGTGAACCATTCTCACACTGTGACCTTAACACCGCGTTCTGGGGGAAAACTGTCACATAGGTTTCATTCAATTCAACAAGATTCAGTGAGCCCCTGGCTCCGCTCCAGTGCTGGGACAGAAAATGAATAAAACGCACCCCAGAGACCGGCCTTCGGCGGATTCCAGACGGCGGGGCAAGAGGCACGCAGACAGGGGAGATAAAGCCTTACGGTCGGTCAGGTGAGCCTGCGTCCTGTGCACCGTGTCCACCCCAGGGACTGGGGGGAAAGGCACTGATCTACTACAACACAGAAATAAATAACACCAATACCGTTTTCTACAAATCAGAGAGGTTTACACCATTTCTCCATTGATTTACTTCAGAGAAGATACAATTTACTTCATCTTAAACTGGGTTTTATTTTTTTTTAATGTTTTATTTATTTCTAGGAGAGAGAGAGAGACAACATGAGAGAGAGGGAGTCACAGACTCTGAAACAGGCTCTAGGCTCTGAGCTGGCTGTCAGCACAGAGCCCAACGCGGGGCTCAAACACACGAAACGCGAGATCATGACCTGGGCGAAAGTCGGACGCTTAACCGACTAAGCCACCCGGGCGCCCCAATCTTAAACTGTTTTAATTTATATCACTGCGCTCCATAATTATACCCGCGACACAGCATTGTACCTGAGGGGTCTGCCCCTGCCCTCCAAGGGTTTTGGTCAAACTGTGAGGCTCTTAAAGCCAATATTTATAGGAACACTCTGCTCAAAGCTCCCCTCGGGGAAATCTGTAACAATCAGGCCTTTAGCCATAGGTTTTCTGAAACGGGACATATAATCACCAAAATACACTTTAAAATTCAAAGATACAACTTAGGTTTTGCAAATAGTATTGTATTAATTTGGTTTCTTAGAGAATAATGTGGCAATATATAAATCATCCAAATTTTTAAAAATTGGCCAAGATTAGTTTAACAAAAAATCTAAAAAAAATTCTAAGTTTCAGTTAATTACTCTGAGTATAAATAATCTTTATTAAAGCATGCATATTCTTGTGATTCAAAACAAATATTTTTAAAGAATGATATACCTAATTAAAAAACTGATGAGTGTTTTATTTAAAATAATTATAATGAAAACAAATAGACATTTAGAAGGTGTTTATCTTTTTAGAAAACATGGGCAGTAAGGATTAAACGAACCTTCCAAACTCACTGCCAAAATTAAAATTGCACATCACAGAAATGTTTAATAACAAATATTGACCAACAGACTACAACACAAAAACCGAATAAATAAAAACCCTTCTGATTTTTTTACCAGAAAATCCTGAACTGATGAATTAACAATAGAAAGTTAACATTGACTTCAGAAAAAAAGGCACATCCAGGCGAACAGTCAAGGTGATCTGTAAATGCAGCGTCATACTGAATACGGTGCATGATCAACTGAACGCAACAAATGACTCCGGAAGACCTGAAACCACAGCAGCAACGGTCGTCACGCCGGGCGGCAGGAAGCCCCTCCGAAGGAGCACTCTGTCCCGAGGCAAGGGGCTCACAAGGACGGGCGGTCCTGGATGTGCCCCGTGTCCGCCGTCCGCACAGGCGCCAGTTCCCGAAGCCGCGTGCCCTCCTGGTGCCTCAGAGACTTGACCGTCTCTCTGGCCGAGGCACACACCTTGCGATGGCAGCTCTCCACAGGACCGGGGCCAGCAAAAGGCTGAGAGTGGTCACACTCAGGATTAGCAGGTACACCTGCAACAAGTAAGGCTGTCACCTTGGGATTAGGAGGAGCACCTGCAACAGGTGAGGCTGAGGGGGTCGCGCTTAGGACTAAGGCGCCCCTGCACGCCCCGTACAGCCACAGACACAGGCACACTCGGCTGTGAGGTCCACTGAGATGGCACAGCCTGGCGCGCACGGAGTCCCCCTCAGCTGACCCCTCGGGGGCCCTCACGGTGAACGTGCAGCCTCAGGGCAGGACTCAGACAGAGCCTGTGCAGAGTTCATTCTGCAGCCATTGTCTCAATATCTAGACTCCTCCTGTCTTCCTCACATTCGTGGGCACAGGAGACAATCATTTAATCCTGAGGGTTTACCAGCATGTCACGTGGACCAAGAGGAGCTTCTACAATTCCCTAGGGGAGGGGTGCCATAACGGGGGCAGCAGGCTGAGGGTAGGAGGCAGGCCCTGCCCTGGCTTCAAGGATAGCCCGGCATGTTCACACGTGCTTGCACAGGTTCAGAAAGGGCAAAATCAAAAACTCCAACGTACTGAAGGGTCAAATCAAGCTTAAGAAGGAACTACCATTCATGAGCCTGTGTGTCTATAAACCACAGTGTTTCTAAGCTGAGAACTGCAGACGTGAGCTGGTCCCCATGGCTGCAAGTCTGCATGGAAAGTGTGTGGCCTTCCGAACACGGCACACGCGCAATCTCTCAGAGTCAGCCGTTCAGAGCAGGGGGTCCAGGCTTCTTTCACGCTGTTCCCCGACATTTATCCGTTTATCAGAAACAAAGTACCTTTAATGTCCACCTGGCTGTCACTGAAACAGCGATGCTCCACTTAAGTTGTGAAAAGTTCTTAGCACGTCACCTGTCCTCAGACCACTCAGGGCCAACGCTGAGTCCGTCACCTGGCCCTGCCCTGAAGGACATGAACTCTTGCCATGGTGGGCAGGAGACTGTGGCCTATCTACCCCTGGGGTGGGGGCCACTCGGGCCACGGCCAAGCACAAACGTCCTGCTTGTCAAATTTAAAGTGATGCTACTCCTCAAGTTCTAACTCATGCCACTTGAAAACGGCACAGGACAAAGCTGGATGGGAAGGGAAGGGAGGTGCACAGGAACTCGCACACACAGGTGTGCGCACAGCCGGCACAGGGCACACGAGGGTGCCAGGCCCAGGGTGAACGGACAAGGGAAAGGGAGAAGGCTGACGAGCCACGCAGAGGGCTGTGTGCACCTGAAACTGTGGCAGGGGAAGGAGGGGCCTCGTCAAAAAAGCCCCAAATTTCCATATACGCTGACTTGCAAGAAACCCTTTCTGTATTTTACACAAAGGAAGCTTTGTCATCATTTCCACAGAAGTTTTAATTCCAATGACCTAAAATGTGGAGACATGATGGCTTCAGAAGCACTTCTGACAACTCTAACTCACCTTCTACAAGTGGGCAAATGCTGCAATGTATTTTGCAAAAAAAAAAAAAAAAAAAAAAACCCTAACCCTGGGTGACTGAGTCGGTTAAGCGTCCGACTTCGGCTCAGGTCATGATCTCATGGTTTGTGGGTTCGAGCCCCGTGTTGGGCTCTGTGCTGACAGCTCAGAGCCTGGAGACTGTTTCAGATTCTGTATCTCCCTCTCTGACACTCCCCTGCTCACACTGTCTCTCTCTCTCAGAAATAAATAAAACATTAAAAAAATTTAAAAAACAAAAACGAAAACCCTAACCTGTCCAGGTACCTTCACAGAACAACATTCCAGCTTTGCCTCGTAACATGGCTTCTGTGCTCAGACCCAGGCTGCGGAGACGCCCCGCACGGTGCGGCCGGAAGGACGGCCCGTCAGCCTGGTGGACAGCCGTGCACTAAGGCCATTACTGACACGCAAACTAACAATGGAGCTATAAGATTCAGTTGTCTTCTTTTCGCCAGAGATGTGACAGAGACCTCACAGCCACTACTGCAGAGGGGACGCTGACAGTTCCGGCTACTTTAATCCCAAACCTGCACGCCGGTGTGAGAGGCAGCAGGACCCGACCTCCGCGGCCGCCCAGAGGCAGACCCCCCGGCCCGCACCAGCTGCAGGGAAGGTGCTCAAATGCCAGCGTGGAGGGTGCGAAGGACAGGGCACCCTGGCCACGCACAGCAAGTGGGTGCGGACTCACCTCCCGAGAAATTATGCCAGCTCTGCGCGCTCTGCTCCCCAGGACAAAGGAGAGCTCGCTGACCTGCGCCAGCCCCGCGGCCACGATCCACTTGACGTACTGGCTGCTCTTCGGCAGGAGGACTGACAAGACCAGGGCTGCCAGGGCAAACTGCGAGAGCGTCCGCGTTACTGACCGCCGAGCAGAAAACCGCGGGGGGCCCGTCCTGACACCCAGGGGACACGTGCAGAGGCACCCAATGACCACAGAGTGGCCGGAACGAGACCACACAGAACGTGAAGTCAGGGGTCCGGGTCCACGGGCAGCTAGCCCCCCAGGCTTCCCCCCACACCAGGCAGCAGCGGCAAACCAGGTGGCACTCGAGAAGGAACTGTACTTTCCAACGAGAGCACGGTCTCTCCCCTGTGAGCAACTCGGGAGGGGAGCAGCCTGGGGCCGGAGGGGCAGGGGCAGCGCCTGGCAGGGACTCTGACTCCTTCTAACAGAAGTATCTGAAGTCAACTTTGGTCATCCAAAAAGCCACACAGCTACTGAACAGGTCACCGGACCCTGAAACAACTGTTAACACAGGCACCTCAATCACCTTTGGTAGTGAGGGCGCCGTGGTCTGCGAGGGGCCGGCACCGGCAGGGGGCTCTGCGCCCCGGCCCGCACGCCCTGCCCTGTGCGTCTCTCCCGCCTCGTGTTCCTGGGTTCTGTCTTCCTGGGAGAGCCACTGACTCAGTGAGGACAAATACAGTAATACTTTCAACACACAGCAACGAGACATCCACGTGCAGGCAGTGCTCGCTGGCTCGTGGGTCCTGAGCCTCACGCAGGAGAAAGGCCAAGTGCAAGGCCCTGTGAAGACGGGGCGCCCGGAGTGCCTTCTGCTCCAGCTTTTGTAACTCCCACTTTCCAACATACCCAGGTCTGAGACAAAGGAAGGAAAGCAAACCCAAACGGCCCGGTCCTCACTCACCCAGTCCCCAGACTGCTGGGTGACGGGAGCCCGCGTAAGGGGCCTTGCTGCGCTTTGTGGACTCAGGGTCCCATACAACCAACACGAGAGGAGTTTTACCGAGGAGAAGAATCGGTACCGACCTTCATGATCACCACCGACAGCGTGAGCACCATCAGGATGCTGAGCTCATACACCACAAACGTGGGGAACACGTGGAGGCCTGTGAAGGAAAGGATGGACACGGTCATTCCCAGAGGAACCCATGATGCTCAGGCTTCCTCACGTCCTCTCCACGGGACGAGGGCACCTGTGAGCGCGACCTTGCGGCGCCCTGTATCTACGGCTCGTGCCAGCGCGTGTCACTGGCGGCCACGGAGCTGGCTCGCTGTGAGGAAGATGGCCTGGGCGCCAATGCCTCCCTCTACCAGACTTCCTACCCGGGACTCGGCACAGAGGGACAGCTAGCGGCCACTAAGTCTAATTTCCTTTGGGGCCTGGAAACCAAGGCGAGAAGCCACAGGAGAGGAAGCCCGGCCACTCGCGGCCGCCTGCTGCCCTGCCGCACATGTCCCCACATGACAAGAGACGTTCTTCCCGCTGCCGCCAGCGCCTGCTGGGAGGCTCCACTTGCCAAGACGCGGGACAGGTGCTGGTGGGCCCTTCCTCACTTGACAGTGGCGCAGGACTCGTGTACACCTGGCTCCACGTCCCTGAGGAGCCCGGGGCTGACCGGGCCTGACTCAGGGTGGGCTCCATGTGATGACCGTGAGGCCCCTTCACGTGTCTACCTTTGTCTTACTCAGAGATACAGACAAAAGGACCTCTTGCTCCGAGGATGGTTTTCTCTTCCCCCCAGCGGAGCAGCACCCGCCCCTGCCGCCCCTGGTGCAGCGCTGCGGCCTGCTGCCCCGAGCCCCAGGTTCCTCTCCCCTTCCCGGCTCCGCCTCGGCCCCACCCCCCAGGCCCATGGTGCACCCTGAGCCCCGACGACTGCCCAGGGCACACCTGGCCTCCCTCCCACCGAGCTGTCTCCCGGGTCCTCCAGCCCCGGCCCTCCTGCCGCTGAGAGTCCAGACCACCTCCGGTTGCACCTGTGTTCCTCACACTCGTCACACCGCCACCCACAGTGCGAAGACCGACGAGCAAACACCCCCAATGCAAACAAGCCCACGATGTGGAGGGACACGTCCGACCCAACCCATTGCACGGATGTGATCAGGGAGTGCCAGTCCCTGCCCACCTGCTCCACCCCCCACTGGTGTGTCACCGCCCTGCTTCAAAGCCCAGGGGCCTCCCCTCTCCCGGGGAGAAGCGGGCTCCCCTGCTGGACGCACAGTGTGGCACTGCGGGCCCCACGAGCCCCGGCTGCCCCGTGCGCGCCGGCCCAGGCACACTGGCCAGATGGCGGGGGCATTCTACTCTGAGGGTGGAGACATAGATCACTCGAGGACCACACGGGGCTCAGGGACAGAGACCCAATCTGCGCTGGCATGCCTGCCACGCGCGCCAGTGACAAGAGGGCACGCCAGCCGCCCTGTAGCTTTTCTGCTCACGGCCACTCATCCATTCACGTCTCCAACTAGTGCCGAGTGTATCCCTGGGACGACACGGGGGACAGGCCCTGCACACCCATCGCGCTCCTCCCGGCCTCTCTCTGCAGAAGTGCATTTGGGGGATGAATGAGAACGTGGCACGCAGTCACCTCGCACATGGGCCATCACACCCACATGTGCCCACGGCCTCCAGCGCACCTCCAAGAATCAGGAACGGGCAGTGCCCACTTCTGAGTTCCTCTCTATGTCCCAAGAAGGGGGATCCAAGGAGAGAATGAAATCTTTGCTGCGAAGCCTATATCAAGAAAACTCAGGTCATTGGCCTCGTTTGTAAAGCGCCAGGCGCCAGGGAATTAGCCGTCAAGGTGGTCATGCGGGACGGCATGGCTCCAGGCAGGCTCGGCCGCTCCTATGTGACTCTGTCTCTGCAGCTTCCACGACTGAGCCGCCCCCAGTTCGCGTGCTGAGGCTATGACCTCGTGTGCATGCGCACAGAGACGGCTTCCAGGGGGAACAGGGGATGACGCGAGGCCACAGGGTGGACACCTGACCCAGCAGGACAGGTGTCCTTGTCCCAGAGCACGGAAGGCCACAGTGGGACCCGGCAGGTAGGCAGCTGTCTGCAGGCCAGGAAGAGGCTCCCTCAGATCTGTAGCCACCTGGACACTGGTATCCATTGCAGCGGCCCGAGCCGCGGCTCCAATGCCTCGTTAACACAGCACAAAGGAACGGGTGCAGCGGTGTTTCAGGGACGTGTCATTTGGGGCGAAGGGTCCTGATGGGTGGGGGTGAGGAGCAGGGTCTGTATGGGAACACGGGGGCTAACAGTCCACACCGCCACTGGCCATGCTGTGGGCCTAGGGCCTTCTTGCCCCGTGAGGGGTGGCGTCCACGTTGCTGAGAGGAGGCCAGTCTTGGCCCCTGAGGCCTCCCTGATCTGGGCCCTGCCCCCATGCCCCCCAGGGCGCCCGTGCCAGATGCCGCCTCTGCATCCGGCCCAGAGGGCCTCCTTCACTCCGGGACCCAAGCCGCCCCTCACCGCTCACGCTGCTCACAGCGGCCTCTTCTCAGAGCTCGGCCGGGGCCCTCAGCACGCCTGCCTGTGCCACTGGGACCCCGGGGTCGCTCCCCCTGCCCGGGGCCAACCGCGGCAGGTGGGCCCTCCACGTGGTCTCATGGCTCCGCAGGGCCTGCCGCAGGGCAGGGGGTCAGGGACCGGTCCACGTGTCTATCACTGAGGTCCAAAAACAGAAAAGACAAGGCATCATCTCAAACAGTCCACTTCTGTGCTGCTGGGAGCCCCTGACAGACAGACGGTCCTGAGCAGCGGAAAAGTGAGGTCCTGAGTGTGCACACGCCTCTCGGGGGCAGAAGAACCTCCTTCTCACCTGAACCCCTTCCCAACACCGAGTGCAAAGAACCAAAGCAAAACACGTGCGGCTGTCACCTCGTTAGACAGCTCCGTCCTCAGCAGGTCGAGAGCCATAACCTGACGGAGGGCAGAGCAAGCCTGTCTAGTGGCTCACACGCCTGCGGGATCTTCATATCTAGCCAGGGCACACTGCACGCAGCCCTGCGGGTGGGACACGAGTAACACACATGTCAGCGAGATAGCACCTCCCGAGGGAACATGGCCTGGAACTCGGTCAGGGGAGCCTGCGCCCGTCGGCCTCACGAGCACGTGTATGGGGTAGTGACAGGCGAAGTGAGCCCACAACCAGCACTCAGCACGGCGGGGCCGCCAGCACCCAGAGGGGCTGCGGGGAAGGGGCCGGGCAGGGAGGACAGAAACAGACGCAGGACGGACGGCCCGGGAGGGGAAGGGCCGGACGGGAAAGGGGGCAGAGCGGCCGGCCTGTCTCCCAGGGCAGCGAGGACCCCGTCACTGAAGCAGCTGTGCGGAGACGTGCGGCCCCCTCTCCGTGCTCCGCTCCCAGGACTGGCTGCCCTCATTTCCCTGCAGACTTTGTGATGTGTTTCTCGACGCTCTCAGCCTTGCTGGGGTCACACGGAGCCGGTGGTGGGTGTAGACGTAGTGTGGGGCTTTCTGGGCAGAAAGTGGCGCTTTCTGGGCAGAAGGCAGGGCTGTGCTGGACGTGCCTGATGCAGAGTCTCGACAAAGGGGCGTTTCCAGAGCGGTGCACCTCAACATGGCAGTTCAAGGGTTCGGTACCAACAGTGACCTTTCTTTCCCAAATGTCTCCTTTTAGCGCTGCCCTTAAGTTCGCTAACATGCTGGGCACCCGGAGCCTTTCCTGTGGAGTCAGGGTGAGGGGCACCCTCCCCCGGGGCATCTGGGTGCCCCCAGACCATGGCGGCCAGTCAACGTCCCTGAGCGCAAACCTTCCCTCTTTTTAATAAGATTTCTCTGCACATCCCAATTTTTATGGCAGCATATTGCTACACAAACAGAAATCTGTACATAAACAGGCTGCAGAAGTCCCCGCAAACGTCCTGACGTAAACAAGGCAGATTACCTATGGAGGCGAAGAAAATGATAACCAGGAAGTCCCGGATGGGCTCGATGTAAGACATGATCTCCTCGGTGACCATGTGGCCCTGGGAAGAGATGAGCGCTCCAGCCAGGAAGCAGCCCAGCTCCATGGACACGTCCAACAGCTCTGTGACCTGCGAGAGGGAAGGGCGGCACGTCACTCACCAGCACACCAGTGACATCTCGGCTCAGGGGCGGGTCACTCCCAGAGGCAGCTGCGCTGTAGCAGCACAGGCCCGCCTCGATGTCTCCAGAGGGGCCTCTGTGGGGCGAGCCAAGACGCGCACAGGGAAGCTAACATTAGTTGAATCCACCATACAGGGAGAAAAAAGAATTAAAATATTTGAAACAATCATTCAAAATTTTTAATGACAATATTTTAAAAAATTTATCTTAAATTCTTGTGATAGGTTTTCTTCACCTGGACTCAGTGAACAGCCCAACTATGGCATTAAATCATGTGTTAATGTAAAAACTCTTCCCATCTCCAACTGAAACCACTTAGAGAAAGCAGACACCCCAGTGAGGGAGGCCCCGAGAACACAGGACCCCAGAGGGAAGTGCTGCGAGTTCGTCCGAGCTGGACACGGTACAATTAGCACTCGGGCTTCAACCAACATTTCTGTTACACCCGAAGCCTCAGGTGGACTTCTTCATGAGGCGTTAGTGACACAAAAGAACCGGAAAGAAGTAGATGTTTCTCACTCTGAGAAAGTAAAACCACACACAGAAGACAGCGGCCAACAGAAAGAACCGTTAAAGAAACACGGTTCACAACAGCGCCAACCACACCCAGCACCGGGGACAAGTGCCACAGAAGAACCCACGGCCGTCACACCACAGAGCTCTGCCGCGGAGCACGCGCAAGGGCGGAGACGAGCAGAGTGCGCGCCCACAGGCCAGAGGCGCGCAGCCACCACCGCGCGAGCTCTCCCTCGACAGGCCCGGAGTCCCTGCAGCCGCGAGGGAGAACCGACAAGCCAGATGCAAACACTTGTGCAGGCGCCAGACAGACCACGAACGCAGCCGGACAACCTGGACAGAGAAGGCTGCTGGGCACGGTGCTGCCACCGGGAAGAGCAGGCAGGAGGCAAAGGGGGCAGAATGGAGACTCAGACACACACACGCACACTCGTGCGCTCACGCCCGCACGCATGTGCTTCTGCTCGCACTCACGCTTGTGCTAACATCCACACTCTTGCACATGCTCACAGGCATGCTAACATTCACACACTCATGCACTCACACCCACGCACCCACATGTACACTCATTCATGCATGCACCCACACACTCACTCACACACCCACATGTACACTCGCACTCAGTCATGCACACACATGCGCACTCACACTTGTGCCCGCGCACGCACACTTGTGCACGTACACTTGTACTGACACTCGTGCGCACAAGCTCACATTCATGCACTCATATGCACACCTGTACACATGCCCACTACAGACTCAGGCACACATGCTCATGTTCATGCACGCACACTCACACTAACACACATGCCTCCTGGCTTCTGACGAGGCGGCCCTGCGCTGCCCGACGGTGTGGAGACAAACTGGAACACGGACCCTTGTCCGCAGCCCCACACGCCTCCAGAAGGAATGCAGATCTGGTGAGGAAAGCAGAGGAGGAAGTGGTGGAGGGCGACATGGTGCCTCTGGATCTGGGACAGCAAGGATCTCCGTGGGATATAAAAAGTGCTATCTGTACAAGATTCCAAAGTAGAGAGTATATTAAAATTAAGAACTTCTGTTCATCCAAAACATACCATTGAGAGAATCAAAAGGCGAGTTACAGGCTGGCAGCTATCAGCAAGGATCTCTGTGACACAGGACTTCAGCCATGAAAGGGGCAAAATGCTGAAACGCGCCTCAGCACAGACAGACCTTTAGGTCGCGCCACATCAGAGGCGCCGACACAGGGGGAGCAGGAAGCAGGTTAGTGGTTACTATGGGATGGGGGAGAGGAGGCAGGGCTGGGAGCTATGGGGTTTTTTTTGGCGGGGGGGCAGAACTGTTCTAGAATTGGACAGTGGTGACAGCTGCACAGTGCTGTGAATATGCTGAAAACCACTGCTCTGTGCACTTTAAAAGCATTAACATGGCAGGGGCGCCTGGTGGCTCAGTCAGTCAGGCATCTGACATTGGCTCAGGTCATCATCTCACCATCTGTGGGTTGGAGCCCTGCGTCGGACTCTGCTGGCAGCTGGGAGCCTGGAACCTGCTTCAGATTCTGCGTCTCCCTTTCTCCCCCCTCCCCCACTCATGCTGGATCTCTCTCAAAAATAAAACGTTAAAAACAGAGGTTACACGGGGCTAGCGCACACCCACAACAGAGCTCGCATGCGGCTAGCGCATGGCCACAACAGAGCACACGGGGCCAGTGCACGTCCACAAGCACGCACAAGGGGCTGGTGCACACTCAACCACAGAGCTCACACGGGGCTAGTGCACGCCCACAAGAGAGCTCACACGGCGCTAGAGCATACTCACAAAAGAGCTCACACAGGGCCAGTGCACATTCACAACAACAGAGTGCACACGGGGCGAGCGCACACTCACAACAGTTTACACGGGGCTAGCGCACACCCACCCACAGCTCACACAGGGCTAGCACACACCCACAACAGAGCTAACACAGGGCCAGTGCACACTCACAACAGAGCTCACATGGGGCCAGCGCAAACCCGCAACAGAGCGCACGCGGGGCTAGCGCACACCCACAGCGGAGTTCACACAGGGCTAACGCATGCCCGTAAGAGAGATAACACAGGGCCAGCACACACTCACAACAGAGCTCACATGGGGCCAGAGCACACCCACAACAAAGCAGACACGGGGCTAGTGCACACCCACAACAGAGCGCACATGGGGCTAGCGCACACCCACCCACTGCTCACACAGGGCTAGCGCACGCCCACCCACAGCTTACACAGGGCCAGTGCACACTCACAAGAGCGCACACGGGGCTAGTGCAGTGCCAGGGCAGAGCCCGAGCCGTCAGACTCTCTGATGAGTGGGGTGCCCAGCACCTAGCACACCAGGTGGCCCTAGCAGCTCCTCAAGAAATAGGGTCGAAGAAAGAAAACAGAACCAATGAACAGAGAACCATTTTAACCGGTGTAGCCCCTGGGAAGACAGCATGGAAGTCATCCAGAGAAGTATTTTGCTGGATATTATTTTTAAAGAGAAAAATACTCCAGAACGGAGAAAGCAATGTAAAATTTTTTTAAATAAGCGACACACAGGAGCAGCCTAGAGCAGAAGAAAATCCTAGACCTCTCCCAAGATTACAAAATACTAGTAGGCAGTTAAATCCAATACGAGGAAGTAGCTTGTGTTACTTTCCTGTTTTGAGGCAGCAGCGGACTCCCTTGCAGCAGCTGTTGAAAGCCGGCCCGCAGAGAGCTCACGCGCCCGTGCTCGGCTCCCTCAGGGGCAACATCTTGCTAAATCAGAGCACAACCTCACATCCGGGATATGGATGCAACACAGTGAAGACATGCGGAACTTTCTGTCACAAGGACCCGCCCCACCCACCACCCTTAACACCTGGCACCAGCAACCTTCCCTCCCATTTCTGAAATTTATCATCATAAATGTCACATAAATGGGAATACATAGTATGCAACCTTTGGGACTGGCTTTTCTTGCTCAGCATAACTCTCTGGAGATTCACATACAATCGTTTTAAACCTGGGTGCCCTTCCTCGGTGTGGACGGACCACAGCCGGCTGAGCTGGGGACCTGCGGAAGCACATCTGGGTGGCATCTGGCTGCTACGAACATTCATGCGCGCGCTTCTGTGTGAAGCCGAATCTTCTCTTCTCCGGGGCAAGTGGTGAGGAGTGCGGCTGTGGCACCCCACGGACTGTCTGCGGGGCTCTCACGGCATGTCCCTGTTCCCTCATGAGAAGCACGTCCTTTAAATAAGGAGAAGGCCGCTTCCTTTTATTTTCATTTTCAACTTTGCACATTATGGCAAAAGAAGTTATACTGCTGACCAGCTTTGTCATCATCAAATAGAACTAAAAGTTGTTTTCAACTGTTAGTGTGATTTCAGGTATGAAGTTGTTTGTAAGTTTAAGACTGCGTGACATTGGTGACGCTGGAGTCTACGTGGCTTTCAAGGCCACTCAGACTTGCCTGTGTGCAGCATTTGAAGTACCGTTTCAGCAAAGTGCTTAAGAGACTGAGCGTGAACAGGTTTAGGCTACTGTGTACGTATCGATGGTCAGTGTGATAACTGCATAAAATAAAAATACTATGTGCTTCAAATATTTTTAACTACCACTGAAATGACACGATACAGAACTAACGGATCATAAGCTCTCAGGGAACAGATTACAGACAAGAGCGTGTAAATAACAGGTATTTTGAGAATTACCGTTAACATTAAAAAGATGAAAGCAGAGATTCCTACGATAAGGATTTCTTTGTTCCCTTTGCTTTCCATATGCAGTTTTCGATAATATGGTCCAATGAGGTAAGTCTTTATAACAAGACACAGAAGAAAAGCAGCAGCCAGCGAGAAAAGAATCTGACCGACCAAGGCCAGGATCCGCAGAGTCTCCATGACAACACTAGGAGAGAAAAAAGGGAGCGTCACTTCACCTCCACAGCACATTTCCCTAAAACCCAACAAAATGGGCTTTCAACTTGTTCTTCTTTGACATGGTACAAAATAAGTTTCCCAAATCACACATTTTTATAGCCAGATACTAAAATAAAACCTAAATATCACATTCATTCTAAATAACTTGGTTCAAATTAACTTACTTGAACCCAATATGGAAACTGAACTGTTGTAAGATGTATTTACTTCAAATACACCTTACACGTTATGACGACTCCTGACTGCAGCTTCCGTATCTCACCCAATGACTGATAATAAAATTCCTCACCAAGATCTAAGTCCCACTTGAAATTCTTCACAAGGCAATCATCACCCCGCAGGCTCACCACTGGCTAGAGAACTCCAATGACCTGAAGAAAAAATATTCCCCCATCGCAAGCCAGAGCTCCACATTTCATGTCTATTATTTAGTCACCGCGAACTGGATTCTGTGCTAAACTTTTTAGAATATGCTGTTTACATCTCAGAACACATTCCTAAGATCCCGGCCAAAGGACTTGCAGAAAAAAGGCACTGTTTATAATACTTACAATGTTTATAATAATTACAGTGAGTATACATATTTCTTACTTTATTTAGTTTATTTTTAGAAACTTAGTTCTCCATCATATTAAGGAAACAATTTAGTCCAAACTTCTGGTTTAAAAGTTCTCGAGGGGAGGGGCGCCTGGGTGGCTTAGTCGGTTAAGCGTCTGACTTTCGCTTAGGTCATGATCTCGTGGTTCGTGGGCTCGAGCCCCGCGTCGGGCTCTGTGCTGACTGCCAGCTCAGAGCCTGGAGCCTGTTTCAGTCTGTGATTCCCTCTCTCTCTGACCCTCCCCTGCTCACGCTGTCTCTCTCTCTCCTAGAAATAAATAAAAACATTTAAAAAAAAAAAAGTTCTCGGGGGGAGAATACAAATCTCATTACTGGGAGAGGATTCATCACTGCAGTCAGGCAGCAGTGCACATGGATGTCAAGTCACACATAAGCAATTCCATCCAGGAGTCAGAACAAGCTGGGCCATGGGGCGCCTGGGTGGCTTAGTCGGTTAAGCGTCCAACTTTCGCTTAGGTCATGATCTCACGGTTCGTGGGTTCGAGCCCCGTGTCAGGCTCTGGGCTGACTGCCAGCTCAGAGCCTGGAGCCTGTTTCAGAGTCTGCGACTCCCTCTCTCTCTG